CTTCCGCCAAGTTCCATGACTCTGTGTTGTTCAGCAATCCACTTTGCTCACCCTCCCCTCCTCCAATACCCACCCCCCAAGTCAAGCAAGTTCGCAACATTAGCAGTCTTGAGTCAACGCCCGAGGTGTAACCGCAGGCGCCCTTCCCCCCTTTGCCTACCTAACCCCCCCGCGCCATGTGAATCTCCGTGGTAAAGTGGAGAGAGAAAAGAGTGGACTTGATACAAACATGGGTAGAGGTAGCGAAGCGAGGGGGGAGGGAGCGGCAATGAAGTAATGACAGGTCTAGTGTGATGTACTATTGTTGACGGGGACGAGGGAAGAGAGAGAGGGGGAGTGGAGAGGAACTATTGCTCGGCAAGTCTCCACATAGACACACAGCTGAAAGGAAAAAAACGGAGAGGTAGCACGAGACCATGACCATGGGGCGGATAAGGGTGGTTGAGCGAAAGAGGCAAGTTTATGGCTGGATACAAAGGGAGGAGGAGGAGGAGGGGAGCGAGGACGGGCCCCACTCTCAACAGTTCGAGTTTGCTGATGGTGTTGGAGTTAGTGAATTTGGGCCGTGCGGGGCCGCCGCCGCCGTGCGTGGGTGCGCGCCGTGCATTGACAACCGGTGTATTGTTTGCACGATGCAGTATGCTTTCTGACGAGGGCGCAAAAAAGAAGTGGGGACCTGGAGTGCAGCGGTTTCGAAAAAGTTTATGTTGGGGCGGGTTTGGCGAGGCGTGTGGAGGAAGATGGAGAACGGCTTGTGGTCATGGATCAAGGGTTTTGTTGATGGTTTCAGGGTGGGTCGATGACCATGTCGGAGACGACCGACAACCACACACCATCATCTCGATTTCAAGATGTTGCTGAGATGTTCGGCGCATGTTGGGAACTTTTGTGGCTATAGTCGCCAGCCTTGCCTCTCAGGATTGCATCCTACACACCATCCTTCTGGACCCTGGAAGACCCTGTCAACATTCTCGGAGTTAGTATGAGCCGCAGGGTCCGTTGATCGGGATACCGCGGTTCGAGAGCTACTGGCGCTCAATACTAAGTCGAGAATTCCTGTCGTATTCGGACCGTACTCGAGGGCGGATAGTGAAGACAAAGAGGTCGCTGTCTATTGTATTATTACATAGAAATGGCCGTGGGGGAGATAATGTTGAATGTTGAGCAACAGCAATGACGGCAGCCCGTCCTGTCTGCATATTGGTTTACCCCAGACATGCAGTCCAACACGGGATCTGCACCAAGTATGTACGCAAACACGTAGGTGTACGTACGCAGCCTTGCCACTCTGATAGTTTACCCAGCCTTGCGTTTCGTCAAACTCATTTTAAATTCCATAATGTCGTCGCCTATCTCCTGCAGCTGCGTCCAAGCGGCCCGGTAGACAAGCTCACCCGTCTCTTGGCTTATGCTGCAAGCAATCCCCTAACACGATGTTGCGACTCGGGTTGGCGTATCTCGGAGTCATCTCCACAAGGACCAAGAAGACAGCTTGGATGAGGCTCCGTGGACCCTGTGTATGTAAACGCTGATGCTACACTCGATACAGTTTGTGGCTGATGCCAGTCAAGGATCAAAGCGTATCGATGGTGGAGAAGACGGACTGGGTTGGCTGGTTGGCTAGTTGTTGGGAATTCGCCGCTCTATTGGCACCGTAAGCTACTGTGATTGCGGCTCTACAACGGTGGTATTGGTGACACGGCATCCTCGGAAATGTGCCTGAGAGGCTGCAGTTGAATGGTGCTATTAGTCAAGTGGCTTCCACATTGTGGGTTTGATTCTGTCGTCGACAGCAGTGTTGACTGACTGCAGTAGTCGTGCCATGAGAAAAATGGACGTAGACAGAGGAGATTGGCTTGTGCTAAGAATACAGCAGCAAAGTCTTAAGGGCTAATGCTGATATGGTCTAGTGCGACAAGAATTCTGCCCACCCTCCCTCGCTCCCTGCGTCTAGGCTCTCTACGCTGTGGCCACCCCGTATTATTTGTGGGGCATCTGCTTTTTGTGATAACACGGCTCGACATACTCTAAGCACACTACGCTTACATACACCTGCTTACATATGTATGTATACACAATCTTGCTATCATGGCAAGCTCACCCTCCCCCCATGACATCAACTTCTGTGTCTTGTCCCTGGAAGGAGCAAAAGCTTCCGCCCTGGTATCTGATGTGCTCAACGCGACACTCGGCTTGGTTAGGATGCCGCAAAGCCCTGGTTCGTTGGGACAATCCTCCCGCTGCACACGCCACAGATGGGTGAAGGGCAAGATGCATGCAACTCTTCGGCTCAGGGTTTCGGTATGGGGGATGTTCGCTCGCATAAACACAGTACCCGTACCGGCACTTGTGCATCCAGTGTACTGCAGTACTAGGAAAAGCAATGGCGAGACTCGCGAAGGCGCCCTCACCGTTGATGAGTGGGCGTCCGGAAACGAAGGTGAGAGGCTGGGTATGCAGTCTCAAGTTGCACAACATCTTACAATACATGCCAAGCAGGCACACACCAACGTTCAACAGCGTCTCTATCATAGCCTTGCCTTCCCATGATAATGTACTTCTCACAGAGATCGGTGTGAATATCGGTGTGGATATCGGTGTGGATATCGGTGTGGCGCTGTGGTCTAGCACGACCGACAAGAGATACCCCGCACTACACCATGACCTGTAGGCTCGTCTCCAACCATCCATCTCAAACACACACCCTCTCCTGAAATCGGCAGACCCCTCTTTGTATCCACAAGGCATCCCTTGTGTTGCGTTGATTAGTGGGCATAAGCCATTCAGCCCGATTTAGAGTGTGGAGGGCGGGGTGCTTTTGTTGAGAACAAGCCTGCGCATAGATGCTGCAGGCGTTACGCCCACGCACGTTGTGTGCATGCAACGATTGACAGACGAACTATGCTCCTGGATTGGGAAATTGATGTGCAAAAGCCATCTTACCGGCGTCGTCTGCAACGGTACAACTGCGCGTCAGGGAAGATTGGCGGACGGAGAAATAGACTTGGGAATCTGCAGAGATGGCGTTGCGCGTCTGTAAGCTCACGTTGATAGCAACAAAAGAAACGAGTGGATGCACAAGAGACGCGTGAGGGGGGGCGGGTAATCTGTGGCATGTGAGATGGAGGCCTGCAGCCATCTCTCACCTGCTTCGTCTGAGGAGCGCGACAGTGCCGGGACAGCCGTTATCGATCAATGAGATGATTCGTATCGCTTCTAGTCGTGCATTCGTCAGGCCTTCCCTGCGCCCAACTTACTTACACCTACTTTCTGGAGACGCGGGTGGTCATCAGATACGACGGACGAAATGAATACTCCATGGTGTTTGCTTCATATGCGAGTGCATATTACTTGGTCGGCAGGTTCTCGAAGCCCTGTAGACCAGCCATATGGGGAAGGAGGTCGGACAGTGGTGGACGCTGAGATAAGGAATTCCGTGGCAGGCCCTGCATATTCTCTTCTCTCTTGACTACAACTGTCGCGAGTGGTCTGGAGACTTGCTCCGCAGAGATGCCGCATTGGTATTGGACAAGTCGACAAGAGAAGCTCGTCTGCTGGTTCCAACGCAGGCACACACGTAATGTCCGCTTTAGCAGACCAATAAAGTATATGGACTTGAGGTTGGAGCTTACGCGGGCTGCCAGTCATTGGCACGCTGCTAATCAAGTTGCCGTTTTGCGCGAGGCTTGCCCAGTGCTGCCACTGACATGGAGCTACCCGAACTAAATTCCCCCGCAAGATTTGTTAATATAGCTTCGCTTGAACCATGGTGTTGGAAAGTGGATTGCAGCCGTTCCGTTGATGTTTGGAGATGTATGTAGTATGTATGCATGCGTGCGGTCATATTGCTTAATTCTCACCACACCATCGTATTGATGATGCTGGTCTCCACTGCAATATGAGGTACGAACAAAGTTGCCTACCATGATCCTCATCGGCCCTTTCCTGAGTCTTATCTCGGGGGGGCAAGCGCCCTTTTCGGCCCGCCAGCTATGAGATGATGCTACAATACCGGCTTGGTCTGGTATCATAGCAATGCAGGCCATGCAGACTCGCAGTGGTTTCCACTGTCAAGCCAGTCTCATCACCAGGCGTTGTGATACTAGTAATATGGGGTCGCGCGGGAACGGAGGGGTTGGAATAGCGGTGAGCGCTCTAAAAAAAATGTTGCAGGGAGAACCACAACCGTTTCAGTGGTTGACAGGGCAGGGTAGGCCTGTTCGGGATGTGCGGATAGAGCAGAATACCTCGATTCTGCTTTGTGATTATATTGAACAAGAAAGCCAGAATTGACATCACCTATCGTGATCATGTTAGGCGAATCGACATCTCCACAAGAATGCCGTAGGCGTGGGGATGCAATTCCAGCTTCGGAGGTCCGTGACACGATTCGTATTACGTGTACGTGTCATGTCCGGCATCGAAAATCATCGTGACGTCGTGATGAATGAGCACTGGCGCTTAATTGCTGTGCTGCTTCTGGACAGCAACCACGGCACATTGGACAAAGGAGAATGGTGCGAGATTGCGTGAAACAACAACGGGAAGTCGAGCCGAGCGTGGATATGCATGGCAATAAGAGAGTGTCGTGCGACTCTTCGCTTGCAACATAGTAGTATTGTGGGCAGTCGAGCAGCATTTTTTGTTTCTTGAACACGCCATGGGCTGATGAATTAGCTGACAGGTTGCCTAACAACGGAACAAGGTCGTCACTGCGAACAACGGCGGCGCCATGTGATCAGCGTGACGGCGAGGATGCAATCTTTGCTTGGACGATGACGGGTTCTAGGCATAGGCGGCGGATGCGCATCCTTCCGGAACGGTGTGTATTGGAGAGGCCGACTAGTTTGCAATGTGTTGTTGTTGTTGTCTCGGCTGGTGGAGAAGAAGCGAAAGCAGAAAGCAGGCATCCTGCAACAAAAGGGCCGTGTTTATAACATGTACATCGCAATCTGGTCAATGTGATACCTGATGAGTCGCACCGAATGATTTGCCCATCGCGATTGAGATTCTGTCGTCGCGATCGTGATGGGTCGGAGGGGGGGTCGGAAGCGGACTAGCGGCATGCGGATCTGGCCATAGCTCAGCCAAGCAAACGGGTGGGGATCGATAAAGTGTAGGACATCGATGATAACAAGTCCGTGCCCTGGTCGGGCGGTGATGGGGTCGGCAGCTCCATGGCAACTGAATGGAGGGGCGCGTTTGATTTTCTGCCGGGCAAAATCCAGCAGTGGGACATGACATGACGCCATGTGGAGCTTGCTGGGGCGCTGGGTATGATGGGGGCTAGCGTCATGGGCGGGCAGTGGTCTGGCCACAATCCAGACGTCGCGACAGGTGCGAGGGTGTGGTTTCAGCGTGCCGCTCAATGGGAGTATTTTCATGCGAATGACCTCGCCAGAGGCATCGGATTGTTTCTTTTCGATGCAAGCAGGCCCGAGCAGGGTGCGGCTCACGAAGCGATGTGCTCTGCTGACTGTTGCGCATGTCTTGTGGTGGTGGTAGTAACTAGACACCGGCAGGCAGGCAGGCACACACACACACACACATGAGTACATACATACAAATGGCATGTGCACGTGGCGACAGCTTCTAAATGCAGCTTGGTGAAGACAGAAAGTGGCAGAGGTAGAGTGGTCTAGCGAACGAAGCGCGATTCAGACAAGCGGCCAGGTGCATCGAAGCGTCTTCGAAAAGAAAGCAAGTTTTTTTTACCTGGCCAGTGGAAGCGTCGGCCTCCGAGCGAGCCGCACGCTGTGGCAGAGCGTCCGTGGGCGGCTTCCACGGAGACGCGTACATAGGCGCGCGTAATAATCAAGAAACCGTGGGACGAGGGATGCGGGCACAGCAACGAGGGCTATGGCAGGAGATTAGCTCGGCCACGACAGGGCGACAGGGCGACAGGGCAGTGTCTTTTGCAGGGCCATGTGTGTCGTAGATAGATACTAGATACATACGTAGCAGCATGCACGGCTATGGACAGGCTAGAGGGTCAAAATGCGGGGAAGCTGTGAAGGGTGAAGTGTGAGTGTGTGTCGGTGCCGGGCACAGCCAATGGCACGAGGCTGGCAGCATGCTGGCTCAGTAACCAAGGCTTCCAGCAGGTGGATGGCCTGCCATAGGGTTTGCGGTGGGCGGAGACGCATTGAGTGATCCCCGCAGGCAAGACGCTGACAAGAGCCTCTTTGCCCTATGACATGGCGGGCTGGCACCAAGGGGCAAGGCAAGGCAAGGCCAGCCAAGGCCAGGCTGCGGGATGGCCCCATGGAGCATCAGACGGTCAAGGCGGGCGGGCAGTGTAATGATAGCAACCGCAGTGTGGGCACGTCGGGGGGAAACGAGAATTGCACGAGCTGGAGCTGGCCAGGAGCGCAGACGAGATATCAGGCAGGCGCAGGGGTTGGGTTGGGGAACTGCGCCTGGGATGGCATGCCAGGCCGTCCCTTGCTGGGGCGGGCGCTGATTGGACGAGGGCCGACCGCCTTTTTTGCAGGCGGCAAGCGGCACCGGCGATCCTCACGCTGGCTGCGTGCTGAGCGTCGCGGAGGGAGGGGGAAGGGATATTTTTTCACGCGAGGGCGGGCGAATTGCGAGGGCGGCTCCCATGCCCCCCTCCGATCATCCAGGCACCGCCACGGCTCCACTGATACGTGTCGGACAACAACCATGGACGTGTTCACAGTCGTGTTCGTGGTCGCGGTCAGTTGGTGAAAGAAGGATGCAAAGATGCAGACACAAGCGCCGTTTCTGGGGCATGAGGAAAAAACGGCGGAACAAAAAAAACAATGACATCACGTCTGGAATGGCTCGCTTGAGAACGGGGGGCGTGCACGCACCCACGCAACGAGGGACACTCGGTTGTTGCTTCTGAGACGAGACGAGCGAGCGAGCAAGCATGAGCACCGTCCACCGTCCCCCAACGGCTGAGTGGCAGATTGCGAACGGTCGCTGTTTGACCACCACAGCCTGACTGACTCTTTGTCACTAGCCAGCCAGGCAGGCAGACAGACACAGACACAGACACAGACAGGCCTCGCCGCCCCCACGACTACGCTCTGCTCCGGCCCTGCTGTCGGTCGGGCCACTCACACACTGATAGCGGCCGGGGCCTCGACCGACGGGCCTCATCACAGTCAACAGGCCGAGCAGCAGCATCTGCATGTAGTAAGTAGCAACACCTGTCTGTATGTACGTGTGTGTTGTTGGACCAGAGCCACGCCCGCCCACCATGGTCACAGTAATTTATTATGTGTACGGGACCACAAACAACCATCCCCAACCCGGCCGGCCTGCCTGCACCGTTTCCAAGTGTGGCCGTGCCAGCAAGGCCAGCTCGCCCTTCGCTTGACGTCGGGAGATAAACAAGATAGCATTTGGTACTAGAGCCGGCGCTGGCGGCGTCTTGGGGTGGGTAGGTTGGCTGCACCGCTGGCCGCTCGCCGATGGCCGCTGCTGGGCGGGCGTGGGCGGCGGTGGTGCGAGCAGCGAGCAGCCAACAGCCCGATACAACTCTTGTACCTCATCGTACCTCGTGTTTCGCCCTCCGCCGTCGGCTTCACTGCCTCGCGCACTAGCAGCTCCCCCCCCTCCCGCCGTAGTCGTCGTCGTCTTCTCGCAGCAGTAGTCAGAACCGGACGCTGCCGCTTGGCTGCGTGCGAAAATCCTTGGTGCTGGCCCCCCCGGCTTGTTGAGCGGCGCGCTAAATCTTGCTCCCTTGTCCCTGTCCACCCCCCCCTGCGACATGAGCGCCGGGCTAGAATCGCTTCTCACCACCCGAATCCAACGACTCCCCAATAGTCGCCGCCCTGCACGTTCTTCTGCGCTACCGCCCTCAACACTCTTCCCCATCCCTCCTCCTCTTCAACACTTGCTGGGTCCATTGCCGCCGCAGACCCTTTAATACCACGACTGCACACCATCCACTCCAACTTGGTTTGACACTCGACCCTGCGGCCTCCTCCCTTCAACCGTCGACTCGCCCCACGGTACCTGCTCTCCCCAGGCTCCATATCACGCCGTGGTCCGTCTGCCTGCACCCGAGCATCCCGTCCACACGGCGACGCCGCATCTTGTTGCTTCATCAACAGCTTCACTTTGCGTCTTGCGTCTCGCCTTGAGCAGACTGACTGCTTCCGCTTATATCCCCCGACGTCATCGCAGCTTTCACTAGCTGTGACATTCTTCGTCGCGACCCTTCCTGCCTGTGTGGTCCCCCCACGAACCAGCTTTCCAACCCCTTCCTCGACCTACTTCTGTAAGTCGACCCCCACAAAAACAACAACTTAGTGTCATCATCATCATCATCACTCACTCAGCCGTCCCACGGCTTTGTGCCTGCCCAACTTTCCTTGTTTGTCGGGGTCCGTTCACTCGCTTACACTCACATTTCTAGACTTTTCGCTACAGTAACTCTTTTAATGCTCTCTACGCCTTGATTGCCCTCGCCATCCACCCGTTCGACCTGCTTCCCAGCATCCCACGAAGCCGACCGAATGCCTTACACACCTCCCTCACAGCGGTCCCCGGCAACCTCCAAGACTAGCAGTCCTACACTAAGCCGGAATCACTCCTATGTCGATCAGCCACCCCACTCGCCGGTGACCGCCCGTCGCCCATCACTGCCTCGCTCTGTCTCGTCAACCTCGTACCTCGCAAAGTCACGGCGGTCGTCGACGTCCGTCACAATAGAGAACACTGTTGCAAATGGCCTGTCTCCCAATACCACCACTGACATCAAGTCCGACGCCACCCAGCATGGCCCATCCACAAACGGTAGCCTACGCCCATCTCCTCCTCCTGTAAACGATCTTCTGATTCCGTCAGGTGCGATTACCACGCCGCCTGATTCCTCGGATGACGAAGAACGTGGACGTCGCGTAGGGGACCTGCGTGAACTGCAACAGGCTCTCCAAGGCATCGACCAGAAGAGACAGTCATCACCTTCCGCAGAGGTCACCGAGAGGGTCAAGGACTCCAAGCCACAACCCCCCGTCACACTGGCACGCTCTCTCTCGGCCGAGGCACGCAAGATTGCACACTCACGCTCGTCGAGCGAGATCATGCTCTCCCAACACATGATGCACCCCATCAACACTGAGACCATCATCAGCTCGTCTGATGGTAGTGATGCTGAGGATGATGAGCTCCGGATAAAGCCCCCGCTACTACGCAAGAAGTCTGGTGAGCTTGTCAAGCCAGCTCTTCGTCCTCCTTCCAGGCGTCGCCCATCCAGCATGCCCGGCACCCCCACCTACTCCAAGGCGGTGCACTTCAACGAGGAGATTGAGCAAGTACGCCACTTCCTTCAGGTCGACCGACCCATCGCTGTCAGTGCCGGCTCGTCACCCGTCGAGACCTATGACAGCGAGAGCGAGTATCCGTTCGCGGACAACTCTCGGTCCAAGACACCTGAGTGGGACATCAAGCTTGCAAACTTCCCCTCATCGAATAGCTACGAGCGACAGACTGCTCCAGTCCGAGTTGAGCGCATCTTCCTTGCTTCTGATCACCAGACTCTGGTTGGCAACATTGCCGTTGCTAACCTGTCCTTCCACAAGCTCGTCGTGGCTCGCTTCACGCTCGACTACTGGAAGACTACATCAGAGGTAGTTGCCGAGTTCAACCACGACGTCCGCAAGAAGCAAAAAGAAGATGGCTACGACCGCTTCAACTTCAACATCAAGTTGGCTGACCAAGCCAACCTCGAGTCCAAGACTCTGTTGTTGTGCGTTCGTTACCAGGTCAATGGCCAAGAGTATTGGGACAACAACAATGCCATGAACTACCAGGTCGACTTCACCAAGAAGGCTAAGCAACGGGGACACAAGCGCCCCACCGCTAGCCTGGGTGCTATCCCTCGTAGCAGGCACTCACCTCTTGCTCCTCGCCCACGCTCAATGCCCGCTGCTTCGTTTGACGACGATTTTGGCCACGAGTTCGAGACCAAATTCCAGTTTGGTAGCGGACGTGCCATCATCGGCGACTCACCCAGCTCGGTCATCAAGCTGAAGCCCAAGAGCAAGCGTACCGTCCCCCAGAACCAGGCCCCACCTTCACAGGTCAGCCAGGCTTTCGCCTCTCGCTATGACTTTGGTGCATCTCTCACTGCTGCTCTGTCCAACGCTCAAACCGCACTTGGTGACCGCAGTGGACTGAAGTTGGACAAGGACAAGATGAACAAAGGCTACTTTGATCGTTCTATTCCTACGGCTCAGCCTCACTCTACCAGTGCTCCTATTCCCGGCGCCCGTCCCGACTCTCTGACTTTGGAAAAGCCCGATCTTCAGTCTGCAGAGTACAATGAGTTGATCCAAAAATTCTGCTTTGTACGTTCCCAACCTCCATCTCAGCACCCTGATCGATTGGCCTAGACGGAGACTGACTCGCATCCAGTTTGGCACCCCGACTGGGAAAATCTCTCCAAATGTCACCACGCCTGCCGTCAGGCCTACGCAAGGTGACGGAGCTCTTGACTACATGAACAACAGCTCTGGAAGCAACCAGTCGTCGGCTACCAGCAGTCCTGCGTCCCCTGCCATGCCCGTCATGGCAGATGGTGCCAGTGACTCTGTCTCATTCCTATCTCGCTCAGCTTCTCCCGGTCCTGTCACCGGCTATGCACCTGAAGACCGCTATGCCTCCTCATATGAGTATGGCTACACGATGCCAGGTGGCGCCTTTACCGAACGCAGCCACACCCCTCAGGCTTGTGTCTAAAACAAAAACAAAAACTCACCACCTTACCTGAATCACGGATGCTTTTTTTCCGTTTAACGAATCTCCTTGGACACGAAGTACGCTTACGACCAGAATGATTGGCCGAGTGGAGCGGACGTTCCTGGTCCTCCAGGTGCAGAGCGCTCACGAATCTTCTTCATCACGGTACGAAACGTTGTAGTGGGCCAGCCATTGCCTTTTTTGCGCCGTCCTCCTCAGGACGTTGCCCTTGTAGCATCATTCGGCCGGCCTGTTTGCTGCATTTCCACATTGGTTTTTCCTGCATCTCTTTCCTCTTTTCATGGGCGCAAACTGGGTTTCATCATGGTGTTCCTTGGGTATGCTTATTCTTGGATCATTTTTTTTCCTCTCTCCCCGACTGTCGAGCGGACTGCGATGCTCTATGAGCGATTCCACTCTGGTCACTGGCGTTTGTTGACGGTTGTTTCTGATCTGCGGTTCGCAAAAGCTTGGTTTTGATTTGCATTTGAAGCGTGTTTTCTCTCCGTTATCCCCAGAATTCGTCGATTCGAATGGTCGTATATAGGCACTAGGACAGACAAAGTGCGAGTTGGTTGTTGTAAGAAGTATCAAATTGCGTCGGTTGAGATTGTGTGTTTTTGGTTGGCCTTGTTCCGATTGTGTGTGTGTGGTGGTTTCGAGGGTTGTCGCTCGGCGATGGGAGGAAGCGGGACACTCGGCCCTATATAGCAGTTAGCAAATGCAAAAGACATGGCATAAAAACTTACCCGGATCTCACGATGCCCCCACTTTGTATGTACCCCGTGAGCATTACTACGGCCGAACATAAGGCCATTGGGCCTGGATCGTGGGCTTGCCAGGCCATGTGACTGTTCGCTAGACGTTCTGCCACGGAGGTAATGCCTGTCAGGCGCTGACCGCCTGCCGCATTCTGGCCAACTAGCCCTCTATGCGATTTCACGATTGGGCCCTGAGTCGTCCTCGCAACTTCATCTCGCCCAAGCGCAAACACTTCACAGCATTCTTCGGCCCATTCCTACCCGAGCCACCATCGTGACCTTGCCTCTGACATTTATGTGTCACAATGTCCTTCTTTGGTAGCAAGAAGGCTCCGCCTCCGCCTCCCCCACCACCTATCCCTCGCTCCGGCCCGGAAATTGACGCAACAACTGTCGTGTCGCTCTTAGCAGTCCTGGCCCTTCTCGGCGGCGCCTATGCAGCATCCATCAAAGTCCTGCCCAAAGCCACGACTAAGAAGACGCGCGTTCTGTTCATCTGGCACCTATTCGACGCTCTGATCCACTTTGTCTTCGAAGGCTCCTTCCTCTGGAATTGTTTCTTTGTCACGTATTCGCTCCCGACTTCCTTCTCATCCGCATCGCGCCATCATCCACAAATCACCTACTTCACGCCGCCAGATGTGTATTGGCTCGGTCGGTCGGATTTGCTCTACGGCGCAAACTATGGAACCGGTCCGTTCAGTCGACTGTGGCAGGAGTATGCGAAGGCGGACAAGCGATGGGGTGGTACCGATCTGACCGTGGTCACGCTCGAGATTCTGACGGTTTTCGTGGCTGGCCCATTAGCGTGTTGGATTTGCTACCTTCTCTCCAAGGATGAAAAGAAAGGCGTGCTGAAAAAGTATTTCTGGATGATAGTTCTAGCCACGGCAGAGATATATGGAGGTAAGTCAACAACAAACATCAATCCATGTTTGTTGCGGTGGACATGTAACATGTGAAACTCGCCGCTGTCATCACTATTGGTGAGGCGACATGTGGGCCCGGCCCGAGCAATTGTTGAGGCGAGACGACACTGCGTTGTTGCGAGTATGAGGCTGACACGTGGTTCACCGCTCCACTAGGCTGGATGACATTCGCACCTGAGTGGCTGACGGGAAGTCCCAATCTCGATACCAGCAACTGGATGTACCTGTAAGTGCACTTTCCCCTTTTTTTCCATGCCCTGTTCCTGGCCAACATCGCTTTCTTGCATGTCTGCGTTTCGATGGGCAAACGGCCCACGCCAAGCCCCGGTTGGATAGC